GCGATGGCCTGCGAGAACCTCGCCAAGAAATGGAAAGCGAGTGCATCATGCGCAGGCCTCTCAGCCTGCCATTTCACAACAGCGTCCGCGACAGCATGAGACTCAGAGCCTCGCCTCGCGAAATAATCGGCCCAAACATTACCTGGGCAAATCAGAATGCCAGTCGGCGAGCTACCGGCAACGACGTCGTCCCAGGCACGGTGGGCGGGGGTCCACTCGAAGGTAGGGGTCGGGTCGCCATCGCCATGCAGGCCGAGAGCCAGTATCTGCACCTTCGCGTGCTTCGAGCCACTCGAGGCCAAGTCGGGGCCCCGCGAGGAGCCTTCGCGCACAGCACTGACGTGGTCAGAAGCAACATGGACGTCCAAAGGGCCAACCTGAAGCGCCTTGAAGATCGCAGACCGCCCGGCCCGAGGCACCGACTGGCGCCGCCCATGGAGGGCCCCGAAAACAGCGCGCACAGGGGGCCCGCTGGGGCTCAACTCGACGGCGGACCAACCACGCCACCACGCCTTCTCAGTTCGGGACTGGAGCTGGCCGGTCCCGAACCGTCGGCGCAGATGGTCCGCCAAGAGGGCGCTTCCCCAGGAGCAGACAGGGAGCGCGTCGGGAACGGGGGGGGGGATGTCCTTCAGCGCCCCCATAGAGAACCTCGAGAGCGTACCAATGCTGGGCCCCAGCCTCAAAATCCCCTTTCTCCCGCAGCCCAGACCTGCTCCAGGGCGTCACCAGCGATGGCTTGATTTTGCGCCCCTGGGTGGTCCAGCACAGGATCGCAATCATAATTATATGTGGTGGCCAAGAGAGCCAACAACGCTTCCATCGCAGAACGCGCATTTGTCGCTGTCGGCATACCCAGCCTCAAACTTACGCAGAGGCTGCCGCACGGCGTGCCTGATCAGACATCTGAAGGCACCTCCCCTAGCAGCACCCTTGATATTTAAGATTTCCTGCCTCCAGCCACGCATCCACGCGCGCTCGGCGCCTGAAGCATGGGGCAGATGCTCTGAAATACACTTGGCCTGCCAGCGCTGGATTCCGACCTGCAGCTCTAGCTCCAGATCGCGCGGCGAACAACGGGGCAGGTCGAATGCGACGCCATCGTCTGACATGATAACGCGCGCCGCGGGCATCGACCAACCAGCCCGTTTCAGCGACGAAAGGGCAGCGCCGATCGGCCAACGGCATGATTTCCAGGTGGGTTGCTGCGCGATCTCATCTGCGTTGCATATCCAAGCGCGCTGCAGTCGTCCCAACGAGAACCTCGCTTCCCAAATCATACCTCTGCGTAGCATACAGGGTCGAAAAAGGGGTGGTCGGGTTGAGTCGCTGGCCAAACTGTGAGCGAACCCGACCGACGCGCGCCTACAAGCGCTCCTGCTAGAACGCGAAGCGACCTTAAACATGTTTCTGCCAGCCCACTCACGCTCGCACCGTGTCCTGCTGCTGGCATCAAGCCAGTCCCCCAGAGCACCTGCACCTTCCCTGAGGGCCCGCGACGCAGTACAGCAAGCTTAGGGCGCCGGCGCATAGCCGTATGCAGCCTAGCTCTCTCCTGGGCCCGATCGGGTCTTCCAGAGAAAACTTCATGGCTGCTGCGCAGCTTGAGAACACGAGCAGACGACGACACTCTCGACGGCGCTTTGGCAGCGGTAGCTACAAACCCACTCTTGGGCACTTGCAGTATCAGCCCGAGATTCGAAACTTGCTCGCAGTGCCAACGTGCCGCGGCCAGCAGCACGTCACACTCGCTGAGTCGTTTGCCTACCCACTAGGAACTAGAATCGCCCAGGAGAAAGAGCGGCTGCACTGTCCGATGATGTATCCTGCTCATCTGGCTGACCAGGCGGCGCAGCAACATACGCATCGCGGCGCCAACGTGGCTGCAGCCAGCTAATATCCCTTGGCGAGAGACAACGGACCGAGACGCCGGAAAGGAGGCCTGCACCAGACGAGGACACCGATACAACGAGTGGAGCACCCACATCATGCTCATGGGATATTCTACCTTAGCATTGAAAGATATCAAGAAAAAACGCTGACGGAGCATCCCCCCGTCGCCGTCGCCCCCTCCGCCCCCGCATTGTGATCGAAGGCGGCGCCCGAGGAGCTCGCTCGGGGGCCGTGGCCCCAGGAGGCCTTGCGCCGGTGCGATCGCTCCCGCGATTGTACGACGGGCTTCCTGGGCCTGCCCCGCAAGCGCAACGGAGAGTTGACTTGCGCAATGAGACGGCGCCCGCCTGCCCGCTTGCCAAGCCGAACCAAGCGGGTCTGACTGCGATCTAGTGGCCACGAGCGCAGCCTCTCACATGCCATGGAGAAGGACGCAAGGGTCTCCAAGCCAACGTCGGACACCTGGCACGGCGACTTCGGGTTGAACGCGAGCTGGCCCAGCGCCGCCCTGGTCGGGAACGAGGCAGCCGCTGACCCGGCGTCGCCAACGGAGATGTGGCAAATTGTTCCGCGAGTCCGCGCCGCGCGGTAGCAGTGCCTCCGAGCACTGGCGCATGCCCCAAATCTCCCCCCAATCGCCAAGACAGTCATCAGTTCGTTGGGAGGGTTGCGGCCTCGCAGTGTCAGTAGCCATCTCTTGGAGCTCCTTGAGCCGAGACAACCGACGAGCCCCGCCTGCGCCGCGCAGCAAGGACTTCTCTGCCCAAGCAGGCCGCCGATCAGCACTGGACTGGGTCAAGAGATTTCGAATCTTGGCGTTCGCGCAGTCGATCAGGGCTTGGGCCGCGCCGTCGAAGTTGCGGTCGATAACGCTCGACGACACGTCGGTCATATACGTGCGGGCGTCGGCCGAGACCCGTTCCAGCGCGCGCTCAGTCCTGGGCGCCCTGCGCGAGAAGCCACGGGGGAAATGCAGCTGCTTGGGCGCGGCCATGAGGCCAGCCTCGAAGCTCCCGCCATGGAGGCCGGCCACCCGCGACCGCAACGTCGTCCGATCAGACCTCGCGCGGCGCGACCAGCGAGACGACGTCTTCCAGGCATTGAAGTCCGACGGCTCACTGCGCCGCGGCTCCCCGTCAGGTTTCCACTCGCATCGAGGCGGGCCCGCGCCCGAGGTGGGCCTTGTCGTTCCCGTCGAGAACTTCGACTTTCAAACCAACAGGCTCAGAACCCCGACAAGTCGCCGGATCATCCGGCGAGCAAGCGTTGCCGCGCGTGGATCGCGTCGCACGCCGCTCGCGAACAGGGGGGGCCTTTCGCAACAAACGAACGGAATGATCGGAAGGGCTCGGGCTTCCATTGGCGCCCCGCAGCACGCGCCCCCCGGCTGGGCGAGGAGCGCCAGCTCGACGGGGCGACGCGGAAACAGGTCGGCCCCAATGTGGACGTCTACGGAGCCTAGCGACGCCAGCAGGACCTCGGCCACGTCGAACAAATCCTTGGCCGCGCCTGGGACGTGGGCAAGTCGGCAAATCAGCAGCAACACTGACTCCTCGCATCGCGTGAAGCCGCGCGTCTAGCCCGTCGCTGTCCGTTTTCCAGTCGCCTTCGATGGTCCAGTGCTCATTCACGATGTTGAGCTTGCGCGGGCACTCTGCGGCGTTCTGGGGGGCTGATGTTCTCGCCCTGCAAGCCCGCATTAACGACCAAATAAGCAGACTGCAGCACGATGCCATTGGGGCGGCCCCAGTGCACCTTCGCTGCTGCTGCTCCCCCAGGGCACACTTCATGTGGCATGCCTGTGGGTGGGGCTAAGACCAGCGCTTTGCTCGGGCCCGGAATGGCCGCTCACCCCAGGGCCCCGCCTCTGTCCGCAGGCGTGGCAGGGGTCCGGACACCTCCGAAACCCTCGAGAAAAGCTTCGGCGTGGACATCCGCGAGCTTGTCTCCAAGAGCGCGATGTTCCTGGATCATCAGGATGGATTTGCCCAATTGAACTGTGCCTAATAGGTCGAGCAGCGGGCCGTAGGACGACACGTCGGCAGTAGCCGCATATTCTTTGACCTTCGATGCGGGGCAAGGACCAGACGTGAAAACCAATTCACTCAAATTGGTCCGTCTAGGTTCGCCTCTTCGACTTCGGGCGCGTCCGTCAGGATGGCGTTCTACCTCCCTAGCGAGGTGAAGTGGACGCCTGTGTCGCGCAGGTGGTACGCACCCCTCCCCCCGGCGACTTCGCAGTGCCCGAACCCTGGGGCACTTCGCGAGTCGAGCAAAAGGCTTGGACGAGACGCCACCCCCATCATAGGCGGACGGCACAGACTGCTGGGCAGACCCAGCCCATTGAGACGTGTAGTCTGGCAGCCTGAAATTGGAGGTGCTTGCTGAGACTGGGGCTGGCGCTATCGCAAGCACAGGACTGCAAAAGCGAAACATAACCACCCTTCCGTTCTTGGCTTCTTCTGGCACGAGCCGAGAGCACCCCCCAGCCTCTTGATGGCCGCGCGGAGCTGAGCTTCGTCCGCGGGCGGGTCGCCGCCGACAGCCTCTTTCCAGAAGCCCCGAAGATCAGGTATATCATCATCGTCAGCAGGCTGAACGCGAGGCTGGGCCACTGGTTCTGGCGCAGCACGTTCGCTACCTGCAGGTCAAGGCTGCTGGGGCGACTGAGGCGGCTGAGGCAGCACCTCCTGCAGCGCGCTCAGCTGCGGCGCGTTCTGCAGCTTGACGCTCCAGTCTGCACAGCTCCTTGAAATTCTCGGCCACGCTCTTGGCCTGGCCGCCGTCGGCGCCGAGCCCAGCTCCTCGCTTGCCCAGGGCGCCCACGTCCACGTCAATGCACGGGATCGCCACACGCAGCGAGTGCTCCTTGGCGGCCTCGACCACGGCGGCCTCAGCATCCCCGACCTGTCTGGATCTCCGCCAGTTTCTCCTTGAGCTCGGTGACGTCAAGCCTGCTGGCGCTCCTTCTTCTTCTCAAGCGTGGAGCACCGTTTGGTGAGCAGGTGGACCTTGGCCCCGATCGGCTTGTCGCGGCCTGCTGCTGGACAATCTCCTGCTTGTGACGTGCCAGCACAAGGTCCTTGGGGGGGGGGGGTCCCGATGGCCTGGAGCGCCGCGGCGAGCTCAGCCAGCGCCTCCCGGGCATCTGGCTCGACGACCTCGTCCGTGTCAATGTCGTCGACCCCTTGCTTCACTGCCAGCAGCTCCTTGAGCTTGCCAATCTCTCGGCTCTTCTCCTGGATGGCGGACTTGGTAGCCCGACCTTCTGCTTGGCTGAGACCGACGGGGCGCTGCCTGCTGGCCTCTTCCCTGGTCCGAAGAAAGTGAGGCCTTTGGGCTGACCGCAAGACCCGCGCTCCTTCCTGCCTGCATGGTCCCACCAGCGCTCGCCAGACTTGCGATGGGTGCACCAATTGCAAAGCCACTGCCGCGCACTCCGCAAGCGTTGCTTCTGGAAACCATTGGCTGTCATATATGCGGCCTCGCCGCTCTCCGTCGTGCGCAAAATTGGTTCGTGCTCGCGCGCCGTTTCGAAGTACGCGGGCGCAAACTCAAGCTTCACAGAAGTAAGCCCAAGCCAAAACGGCTGAGGCGAAGACAGCGGATGAGGAGGAGGAGGAGGAGGAGGAGGAGGAGGAGGAGGATAAAGGAGGAGGAGGAGGAGGAGGAGCTAGACGAGAGGAGAGAGAAAAGGAGAAGGAGACGGACGACGGGAGAAGAAGGAAGGGGAGAGGAGGAGGAAGAGGAGGAGGAGGAGAAGGAGAGGAGGAGGAGGAGGAGGAGGAGGAGGAAAGGAGGAGGAGGAGGAGGAGGAGGAGGGGAGAGGAGAAGGAGGCGGCGAGGAGGAGGAGGAGTGAGAGGAAGGGGAAGGAGACGGAGGAGGAGCAGAAACGAGGAGGAGGAGGAGGAGGAGCGGAGGAGGAGGAGGAGGAGAAAGGAGAGGAGGAGGAGGAGGAGGAGGAGGGGAGGGGCAGGAGGGAGGAGGAGGATCAGGAGGAGGAGGAGGAGGGGGCGAAGAGAAGGAGGAGGAGGAGGAGGAGGAGGAGGAGGATGGAGGAAGAGAGGAGGAGGATCGAGGAGGAGGAGGAGGAGGAGGAGGAGGATCAGGAGGATCAGGAGGAAGGGGAGGCTGAGGAGGAGGAGGATCGAGGAGGAGGAGGAGGAGGAGGAGGAGGAGGAGAAGGAGGAGGAGGAGTGAGGAGGAACGCCAGTAGAAGGTGAGTCCAAGTCATCGAGGAGCAGGAGGAGAAAAGGAAAAGGAGAAAAAGACGGAGAAGGGAAGGAGGAGGAGGGAGGAGGATTCAGGGGGAGGGGGAGGAGAGGAGGAGAGCAGGAAGAGAAGGGTGGTGGAGGAGGAGGAGGAGGAGGAGGAGGAGGAAGAAGACGAGAAGGAGGAGGAGGAGGAGGAGGAGGCAGGCATCATCGTCAGCATCATTCATCAGCATCATCATCGTCATCAACATCCGTTCTTCAGGCTCCATTTCTCCCTCCGCCTCCTCCTGCTCCTCCTGCTCCTCCTCCTCCTCCTCCTCCTCCTCCTCCTCCTCCTCCTCCTCCTCCTCCTCCTCCTCCCAATAGTTTTCCCCCCAGAGGACGCAGTGCGTACGCCCCACCACAGAACGCAACCCGCGAGCCCAGGCGCGCGGCCCGCCCTGCGCCAGCCTCGGACGAACCGGCAACCAGGCAGGGCAATGAAGTGTGCCGTTATGCCAGCCAGTGCCGCTCAGCCAGGGACAAGCCAACCAGGGCCGTGCCTGACAGGCTCCCACGCACTGGCGACGGCAGGGTAACGACGAGTGAGCACCCGAAGACGGGCTTCAAACAGGGCGCCCACGTCTTGAGACAGTCCGAGACGGACCGAATTGTGAGTAAAAACAAAACAATCGCACATGCAGGCACACAGCAGCAAAACATCGTCGGGGAGGCGGAAGAGAGGGATGACAGTTGCAATCTAGGGAATCATCACAGGAGCGATCGGAAATCGGGACCCCAGCCATCTGATACATATTTCGCGAAAGCGACTGCAGAACTTGTAATGACGAAGGTCGTCGTAATCTCTGGACAAGTCAAAACCATACTCATGAGGTCAGTTGCGTGATGGGCCCAGCGGGCCCAAGCTGTATGGGCTCTTGCTTGCGGCAGCTGCTGGTGCGGCCTGGCCGCGCACGAGGCGTCCGGAAAGGGCGAAGCAAGCCCTGTCGCTGGTGTGCGCGCGCTGCCAGCCGGAGCCCGAGGACAGTTTTCACCGCTGTTGGGAGCTCTGTCCTGGCAAGACTCCAGGCCCCATCTACGCCATGAGTGACGAGCTGTTCGCGAAGGCAAAAACACAGCATCAATCAGAGCCATGATGATGATGGTGATGTTGCTGCTGGTTTTGATGATGATGGTGCTGATGCTGACATTGATGATGAGTATGATGAATGTGTTGTTGGTGATGTTGATGCTGCTGCTGATGATGATGTTGATGGGGATACTGAGTGTGATGTTGTTGGTGATGGTGGTGCTGATGCCGATGATGATGACAATGCTGATGACGGTGATGCTGATGATGGTGATAATGATGATGATGATGATGATGATGATGATGATGATGATGATGATGATGATGATGATGAGGATGAGGATGATGATGATGATGATGATGATGATGATGATGATGAATGATGATGATGATGATGATGATGATGATGATGATTGATGATGCTGATGCTGATTGAGGTGATGATGGCGACGATGATGACGATGCCGATGACGATGACGATAATTATGCTGATGATGCTGATGATGGAGGATTGGCCGGCGGGGGAAGTGCAGCGTGCAGAGCCCCCGTGTCGGGGAGGAGGAGAGGAGAAGGAGGGAGGAGGAGAGGAGGAGGGAGGAGGAGGGAGGAGGAGGAAGGAAGGAGGAGGAGGAGGAGGAGGAGGAGGAGGAGGAGGAAGGAGGAGAGGAGAGAGGAGGAGAGAGTGGAGAGGAGGGAGGGGGGAGGAGGAGTGGAGGAGGAGGAGGAGGAGGAGGAGGAGGAAGAGGAGGAGGAGGAGGAGGAAGGAGGAGAGGACGAGGAGGAGGAGGAATAAAAAGGAGGAGGAGGAGGAGAAGGAGGAGGAGGAGGAGGAGGAGGAGGAGGAGGAGGAGGAGAATCAGAGGCGGACCTGCAAGGCATGGGGAGCCTCAGCCAAGGAGACCAAGACCAAGTCAGGGCGTACTGCGACCGACCTGGCGGCCGCACGCGCGCTCAGTACGTGGAGGAGGCGCGGAGAGCAAAGCGAGCCAGACTTGCCCAGCGGGCGGCTCCATCCACCGCGGCAGGAGCGGCGGCCACAGGGCGAGGGGGGCCTGCGCCCTTGGGAGGCGCCGCGGCGGCACCAGCGGGACAAGGGCGGCAAGACGCCGCAGGAGGAGGAAGAGGGGGAGACGCAGCAGCGGCAGCCCCGCAGCAACCCCCACAGCACCCTGACGACGACGGCTTGGGGGACGCGGACCTGCCAGAAGACAGGGAGCAGCTGGGGCGGCCTGAAGGGTATTTACACGAAGACCTTCGCAACATGGAGTGGTGGGACAATGTGACGTACGACGACTTACGCGACTGGGTCATGACTTTGGGTATACGCCCAAGGACGTCCATCACGGGTTGGCGGTTCTGCGAGGCACGGTCTGCAAGGAAATCATCATGGCACGCGACTTGGACGACGCCGTGGCCGAAAGCCGGGCTTGCAAGCTCCTCACGTATTTCGACAGACTCATCCTGGCCACCCCGCGCCAGCGCGGCAAGAGGGAAGGGGGCTTGTCCCCGCTCATCGCCGCCCGCCTGCGGCTGAGCGTGGGAAGGAGACTGGGGCGCCCTCTGGCGAGACGCGGGCGCCGCAGGCGGCCACGCGGCGCAGCCGGGAGGGAGGCAGAGGACCCTGACGGAGGAAGCGCGGTCCGCCGCGGTCCATTAACACGCTGGTCCGCGAAGGCTTGCTCAGCAAGGCCTTGTCGCTGGTACGCAGCACGGGCGCCATCTTCACGAGCGGCACAGCGCACGCCGCTCTGTCAAGCCTCTTTCCGCAAGGCGTGCCGCCGACGCGACCTCCCGCGGTGGCCCCAGTGACGCCCGACGCCCGCGCCGACCTGGTGTCCGCGGCGCGCCGGCAGCTAAGTCGGTACCCAGCGCGGTCAGGGCCCGGCCCCAACGGCAGCCGCTTCGAGCACTGGGCAAACGATCACGGCGGACAGTGAGGCGGCCGACCTCGCCGCAGAGGTAGCCGTCCGGTTCCTCTTGGGAGAATGCCAGGAAGATTTCGTGCGGGCGAACCTGGGCGCGCGACTAATCGCTCTGCAGAAGCCCAACAACAAGGTTCGCCCCGTGGCCTGCGGCTCCGTTCTACGACGGATAGCAGCAAGGGCCGCGTGCCACGTATTCCGAGACGAGCTACGAAACGGTTGCGGGATATGCCAGTTCGCGGTCGGGCGGAAAGCGGGCTGCGAAAAGGTGCACAAAGCCATCACCGCCCTGACAGCTGCTGCTCCGACTGACGTTGTCATGGCGTTTGACGCTACCAACGCCTTCAACACAGTCCCTCGGGAGAAGGTGCTCGAGGGGGTCGCCGCCCGCGCCCCGGGGCTGCTTGGCCCTGCCGCGAGCTGGCTCTGCCACCCCACTATGCACCTCTGGTGGGGCGCCGGCACTACTGCCAAGGAAGTAAAAGTCACCTGCGGCGTCGACCAAGGCTGCCCGCTCTCCCCAGCGTACTTCGCCCTTGCCCTCGCGGGCCCGCTGGCGGCCATCGACGCCCGGCTGCGCCACTTGGCTCCAGCAGCTCGCGTGTTCTCGTATCTCGGCGACGTGATGGTGGTACTGCTCGCTTCGGTCGCCGAGCAGGGGTTATTTGTGGTCGTGGAAGGCCTCACTGCCGCGGGTCTCACTCTCAACGAGAGCAAGACTGCCGCCTGGACGGCGGACCCAGCAGCGCCGCTCCCGCCACGACTCGCTCCCTTCAAGAAACCGACCTTACGCTGCTTGGGAGCGGCTGCTGCTTGGCTCGATCGTGAAGACCCGCTCTCGCGCCTTGTCGTGCACGGCCATGCGGACGGCGACGAGGCCGTGCAGGCCGCTGACCGCATAGTGACGAGACTCCGGGATCTTCGCTCGGCTGGTTTAGGCGCCCGCGAAAGTTTCCTCTTGCTGCAGACGTACTGCAACGGGTGCGTCGCGATGGGTTCAGATCCCAACCGGACGCGTGAGATCCCAACCGGACGGGTCATATCCCAACCGTTTAGAAC